GACCTTGATTTGCCAGACGCACCCTGGGCAGGACAACATGGGTTTGCGCCGTGTGCGTTCCAGGCCAGTTCTTGTGCACCTCAGGCCAAGGTCCAGCATACGGCTTTCAGCGATGGCTAGGAAATGGAATCATAGTGGAAGTGGAAGGGGCCAGGGGGCCACGGGGGCCAGCTCCCCTCTGCTAAGTGCAAGAGGGCAAGGTGCTTCCATCACAAAACGGGAGTACAGCTGTTCTCGGATCCTGGAAACACGTTGCTTTGAGTCCAGTGTATTTTGGAAAGAGATTTCTGCACATCTGTTTGAGCAGTGGGCATGTCCCTGAGGAACATCTGGCTATGTAATTTGCGTCTGGCCAAATACAAAGCGTTTCAACAGGGCCAGCCATAAGCTCCCAAGTAAGCGCGATGCTGCCGGGCTCCCCAACGCAGTGCCCTCTGGGTAAGCTGGACTACACTTCCCATTGGCCCTGGCAGCATGGCCAGGGCTGGGTATTGTAGTTCATCACATAGGAAGGGCACCGTGTTGAGACTTGCTTATTTATTTGACCGTGGCAGCTGGTTCTCAGCAGTTACTTGGCCTTGTTGATGGCCGTCCACCACCCCTTCTGTGAGCGTGCCCCAGATGAAGCGCGAGCATCGCTTTGGCTCCAGCCTGAACTGGCTGCACGGTGCTCTCCCGCACACGTGCCATCCCCCCCACCCGGACGCACCATCGCAGCCGGTTCTGAAGTTGCTCTGCAGCCCATGCCAGGGCTTTTCCACCATGCCTCCACCCCCCTCGCCCTTTTTGGCTGATTCCTGTTCCACTGGGGTGGCTCTTGCAGGGAAGCCCAAATCGCTGTGGCTTTCTGCAGCCCAGCCCAGCCTCCCCCATGACCACGCTGGCTGGGAATGGCAGACATGGCACCCTGATGTGCTTGGGCGGAGCAGGTTAGAGGAGGCTGGAGCTGCTGAGCTGCAGAAATGCCCCCCTCCGTCCTAGAGAAGGGCTGTGGGGCAGCACGTCACCCTGTCCTGTTCAGAAGGTGGGTGGTGGTGTGTTTCCACTTGACTCCTGGGTTAGGGTTAGGGTTAGGGGGCCAATGCCATGAGCCCCCCTCCCGTGCCCCGGTGGCTGCACTCTGCACCAGCAGTGGTTTCCAGATGACTTCAGATGTGGCCCCGCATGGCGCACACCACAGTGGTCAGGCCCGGATGCCACAGAGCGTGGCTGAGCGAGGCGAGGTCTCTGCCAGGGGCTTGCAAGCATCGAGGGTGCATTTGGTGGGGCTCTGGATCGAGTGTGGCAGCACTCCCTGTAGAGAGGCCCTGAAAAAGTGTTTGGAGACTTGTAGTCCGTGCAAACCGACCCGCTGCATCCCAGCATCCGTTTTGTTGCCCGTATCACCCTGCTCCATCAGTGGCGTCGGCTGGTTTCAAGGCGCTGGTGCTTGCTGAGAAACCCTGCACCGCAGGGGCCGGCCTGCAGGCTCCCCTGTCCAGTACGCACTGCCCGTAGGCTGAGGACTGCCTCTGAACTCCCCCACCACACCGGACGGACGGACGGACGGGGACTTTTCCCAAGGGTGGGGCTTTCCTGCATTCAGTTTTAGGCAGGATGTTAAAGTGTTTTTGTTCTGTGTGTCTTTGGAGTAATTTAGGTGTATTTCTCTCTCTCTCTGAATGCTTTGAGCCTTTAAATTAAAAGCCAGGGTGTGGGCTTTTTCTGGGCTTCAGATATAAATAAATGGACCACTGGCTGGGTGCCGTATTGCAAGGTGGGGAGAGTGGGAAATGTTTAGGAAAAGCTGGAGCCCGTGTCCCGTGAGTCAGCTTTGTGCTTATGGGGGAAGGCGGTGGGGCAGATGGACCTGCTTCTTTCAGCCGAGTGGGGTAGGTGGGTGAGGAGCCAAGCTGTGCCTGCTTGGAATACCTTGGCACAGTTACTGGTTCAAAATGTCTTTGGAGCGCTGCATCTACCTGTGCTGGTTGTTTTGGTTTGCACTGGTGGCCTAAAGGATGGGAGGAGGGATGGCCTGCCCTCCAGGTGTCAGTCATTTCCTTGGCTGGTTGCCTAGAGGGAATCTTATGCGCCACAGGTGACTAGGCATGTGGCCGTGCAGTGAAAACTTGTGCCTGTTTGCTTGGTCGTAACCGTGCCTTGAGCTCAGTGGGGCTTCCTCTGGTGAAAGTGTACATTGAATCGCAGCCTCAGTCTCTGTGCTGTGATTCGGCTTTGCCCCTTTTGGCTTTAAAACATCACTGGAAGCTGACGCGCTCGTTAAAACAGCAGGATTGCGCTTTCACAGCAGCAGCTGAAGCAGTTGCGGCCAAGGAGGATCCAGGCAGCAGGGACCAGGAAAGTGCCCTAGAGAATCTAAAGGTCCTGGCCTGATGCCTGAAGGAACCGCTCTTTCCCATGGAGGCTGCTATGCAGAAAGAAGCCACCACCGAGAAGGCCAACCCAGGAGCCACGGCTTAACCTGAGAGGGCAGGGAGTGTGGTGAAGGCTTTCCAGGGGTGACTGCAAAGGCTGGAATTGTTCATGCAGGAGAAAGTGGCCCAGCAGGCTGAACAGGAAGGTGGGAGAGGTCAGATAAATCCCGCCATCACAGGCCGGCTGTGCAGCACGAATCGCAAATGTGCGCACCAGTGGTTACCTGTGGGGGCCCCCCATACCGGGCAGCTGCATCCAGACGGGCACAGGCGCCTCCGCCGCCTGAAGGCACTTGTGAGTGTGCGCGCCAACTGTGTGCAGGGCCTCTTCTCACGCTTGCTTGGACATGGGAGGGCCACCTGGCGTGGGGGGCACAAATGACACGCCCACACGTGCACACGGTGAGAATGCTTCCCGCACCCCTCGGATGCCTTTTGGTGTGGGTTCGGTTCTGTATTTCACCTGTTTCGGGTGAGCAAATGTCGTCAGCTGGCAGCTCCCAGCAGGGCTCATGGTGGATGATGCTGGGGTGGCGGTCTGGGAAGCCACAGGTTTCCCACCCCTTATTCTGGCCGCAGCTCATTTTGCTCTTTCTTGGTGGTATGAGGTTCAGAAGAGCTTTGCTGGATTCGACAACAAGTCCCATGTCTTGGCTTCCAGCAGTGGCCTACCAGAAGCACCCAGAAAGGCCCCAGACCGTGGAGGCTTCCTTCAGGCCACCCTAGCGCAGGGGTCAGCAACCTTTAGCACTCAAAGCGCCATTTGGACCCGTTTCCCACAGAAAACACCGGGAGTCGCAAAACCCGTTTGACACCTAAAATGAAGATGACACTGCATCTATCGTTTTTTACCTTTATGCTATGTATAAAAAAACTATGGTGTGCTGCATTTATGAAATCAATGAACTGCTACAGAGAAAACAAATTCTTATTTCTGCATGCAACAAAAACATTTTGAACTCCAAAAAAAAAAGACGCTGGGTTGAAAGTTACTTTCAAATAAAATACTCAGTGTCTATCTGAGTCCTCCTCGTATTTATGAAATAAAAAGCTGAACTTATATTATCCACTAGCAGCAAACCAAGCATGCCACCTGCAGCAAACCAAAAATGCCGTTTGCTTCTGTGTGCCCTCATCCTTTTATCACGTGGTGAAATATTGAACAAACATCCCTCTCCCAGTGTAATAATGTTGCTGGACTTTTTATAAGAATTGTCTTAAAACAAGAAGTAGTTCTATATCTTCTTTATGATTTAGCTGCAGCTTTTGTTCAGTCACTAAAAACTGTTATTTTTAATCTTACAGTATAAACTGGTAGGATTCCTTTCATATATTTTGAATAGGAGAACAGCTTCCTGCAGAGTCAAAGTCAGTGCGAAAGGGCTCTGCATGTATTAAACAGCAAACCCCATAAGTTCGTCAGCAGTAAAAGCAAATGAATCTACCCACATACCATTAAACGTTCAGCTTTCTTCAGAAACTTTTCTTCGGATTTATCCATGGTTGGAGGGGGGAAAGCTCAGTAAATCGGCGCTGAGCCGGTCATGGATATAGGTGTGTTGGTCCCAAGCGCAGTTTTTAACATTCAGATGAAGGAGATTACATTGGGATAAAGAGAATCTTTTCAGCAGTGCTTCCTGTAACATGAGAGCCTGCAGGAAGCTTGTTTAGCAGAGGAATGTAGCAATTTACTTAACTAGCTGATTTACTTAACTAGCTAGCGCTCCTGAGTGGAGCTTGGAGCAGATCAGCAGCTGTGCCGGAGTGTGTTTTGAGCGATGGAGCCGCAGCAGAGGGTTCAAGAGCCGCGTGTGGCTCCGGAGCCGCGGGTTGCTGACCCCTGTCCTAGAAGAACCCCTGTCCGTCCTTCCGTCCTTCCTTCCTTCCTTCCTTCCTTCCTTCCTTCCTTCCTTCCTTCCTTTCTCCATGAGTTTGTCTAAGCTCCCTTGAAAGCCAACAAAGCCCGCATTCCCCGCAGCATCTCGTGGCGTCAACTTGCTATTCACTGCCCTGCATCTTCGGCCAGTGGACTTCTTTGGATGGCCCTGAGGTCTGACGTGATGACAGAAGGGGAGACTTTATCCATTTTCTGCACTCCACACATAAAAACAGAGAAACTGAGCAGGTCAGAAGGGACCTCCCAGGCCATCTAGTCTGACCCCCAACTCCAGCCGGCTCCACTCACAACATGCCCACCATGTGCATGTCCAGCCTGTCCTTGAACACCCGCACCGATGGGGCCTCAATCACCTTGTGTGGAAGCCCCTTCCATACCCTTGGGGTCCTAACTGTCAGGAAGGACTTCCTGGCATCCAAATTGAATTCCATAAACTTCTGTTATGTGTTTCCTCCCATCAACCATTTCTGAATCAAAAAAGCCCTGGCAGGGAAGGGGCACTGACACCCCGATCCTCTGGTTGCCTCCTTGGGGTGTTCTGTGGCTGCTGCTCCTTTTGGCCAGAGATTAAAGAGGCATTGAGCTCCATCTGGCCAAGGGGAGGCTGTGGGGTGATCCCTGCAGTCAAGGGGCCCAGGACAGGCCGCCCTGCTGGCAGACCTCACCGTTCCGATGTGTTGTTTCCACAGCTTGCTTCCGGAATCCAGGCATTACAGCTGTTATAGATGCTGAAATTTGGGACGTGTCGTGCCGACTGGGACGGGACCAGGGATTGGACCCAGCTGCTGGCTGCTTCGAGGGCTCCATGATGCCCAGCCTCCCGCGGAACTGACTGACTGGCAGGGGAAGGCGCTCCTTTGTTGCGGTGACAGGCCCGTGGCCGTGCCACCAGGTTGGTGAGTGTCGTGTAACGCGTAAGATAGGGGTGCTCGTCTGCGTGCTTGAAGTGTGGATCCCGAGCTGCTGTCCTGTCTAAAAGACCCCACCCCCCCGGAATCTCGGAGGACATAGAAATCCTCATAGCCACAAGATGTATTTTTAAAATTTGTTGTTTAATATTTTTAACGGTTTTGCATTTCTTTGAAGAAGAAAAAGGTGAAAAGAAAAAAGAGGGGAAGGGGAAGGGGAAGGAAGGCACTAATAGCTTAGCATTAGTTTGAGAGGGGGAGCACCCAGGTGCAAAATGGTGATTCAGCAGAGCAGGCACAGGGTCTCGGAATGAGGAGCCTTAGTGGAATGCTGAACCCGGGAATTGGCTCAGTGCCGGGACCGGAGCTTGCACAGACACCCTTTAGTACACAAACGTACTTCTGTCTTTCTCCAGCCTCTCAGCTTCAGTAGCCTCAACTAGGAAGAAAGCAAGTTTATTGTCACTACTTTTCTTAAACCACTGGGGACCCAAATCCTTTCTTGATCCCCTGAAGTTCCCCCAGGAAATCCTGACCTACCTCCTGTCCACGTCTTTCGTTTGGAGCCATGGGAGGCTCAGGCACGGTGCGCGTGCACATGACTGCTGCGCTTCGCCAGATGAAGCTGGCGGCGGTTGGGCGAGGGGCCGGCCCCCGGGCCTGCGAGGGCTCCGTGCAGTTGCTCCCCCGCCGGGGGTTTTTGGTGTTCCGCGATGGAAGGCGAGCCCTCCGTCATGAGTCGACTGGAGGCAGTGGGTTGTCTTGCCAGTACTGTAGTGCGAGTCTCCTGTAAGTCCCGGCAACTCTTCTGAGAGACTTCTCTGCACACCGGAATCCTAACTGCTGACAAATGGTGAGATGTCTCCAAGACACGAAGCGCGGCTGATACCCCCTTCTGTCAAAATGAGGAGGTTATTCACCAGTCCTGAGACGTCAGGATGGGTTTGTCCCCCCACGGCCGCGTGGTCTCATTCGGACCCAGGCTTCGTGGCTGTATGGCTTCTGTGGTGCGGCGCGCAAGGATGCGCTCGGTCGAGAAGAGCAGTGCTTGGATCTGCTCAGGCAAGAGGCTGGCAGAAAGACCTCGGGCCAGTCGCTTTTCCCAGCCTGAAAGCCTTCTAGAGGTGCTGAGAAAGGGAGAAGAGCCGTTTGCCCCGCTGTGAGCTCCTTGGGATAAAGGGAGAGCAGTAATTTATTTGTCTGCACAAAACAAATAGCAGGTTTATAGCTCCCTGCTGCAAATCAGTGGCTTGAAAAAACGGGGGGTAGTGGCTGCGGGTTGTGGTGGAGAGGCTTGTGCGCGCAGGGTTGTGCGTGCACGACTCTGGAGTGTGTAAGGCCATGTGAAGGATGCTGGGCAGAGGGCCAGTCCAACCTCATGTTTCCCAAACTGCCGGTCAGGCGTGTGCTCCCCCGGCAGATAAATGGAGCCGGTGGGTAGCCGGCAGCGCGAGAGCGTTCGGCTGCAGCGGACCCGCTCCATGACCCGCAGCTCTGCGGGGTCCCTGGTGGGGATGCTCCCCGCCCCGCCTGGAGGCGCAGTCAAGGACCGTTCAGCGCGTGCGTTGCGGCGCACTTTTGGGGCTACTCTGGGGCATTGGCAACCGCCCTGGGCCCGGCTGGGTGCTGGGGGCCGATCCCCGAGCGCAGCGCTCCCCTTCATGTGTCTCCCCCTGCCTGCCCCAGCCCTTCCTGTTACCATAAATCTTCCGAGGCCTGCCCAGCCCTCAATGGGGCTTGCCAGCGCCGCAGCCACCCCCAGCCCTCTTTTCAAGAAAAGCCCCGCGCCCTTTGCCCTGTTCCAAATTTTCCTCCCCCTCCGCTGTTCCTGCTGCCTGGTTTCCCGAGAAACCCTCTTTTCCCCCCAAACGCAGCTCGGGGGGCAGGGCTGGTGGGGATGGCTTTTTCCTGGTCGACACCCCGTCTTCCTCCCCCTCCGCCGCACGCTCTGGATGCCGGCCGGCCGGCGAGCTCCTCGGCCCCGTCGCCATTGCCTAGGCAACCGGGGCGGACATGTTTGCGGGCCGGGCTTTGTTTTCCTGTTGTGATAAATGTGCAGCAGCTTCCAGGGACTTTCACAAAGGCCCCTTCTTCCCTCCAGTCACCTTTTCCCGCAAAATCCCCTCTGCCCCCCCCCAAGCCACGGAGTTGGGCAGGGTGGAGGCGCAACTCTGGTGGCTTCCTGTTGCGACGAAGTGCTCCTGGGCACGGGAAGGGTGCTGGGGGCCGTTCCAGCCCCCCAACCCCTCCCCGCACATGCCCCACGCGCACCTCAGGGGCAGCTGCAGTGGCTGCGGCTCCGCTGGACTTGGCGGAGGATCCACGGGGGCCTCCGAGTCTCTGGCGGGCTGCCCAGCGGCATTGCCCCCTTGCAAAGTGCTGGCAGGAGGCCTTGGCCTCGGGGGGGGGGGGGGGAACGGCCATTCTTAGGAGGGAGTCCGGAGCATGGGGCTTTTGCTAGCGGAGCAAAGTGGTGGAGCTGCGATTCTGCGTGTTAAATACTGGGGTCAAATCGGATATACTAGGTATATTTCAGTTAGATCACTCCGTTTGCATCGTTTTGATTCTTTTTAATAAATCCCTTGGTTTTGTCAGTATGTTAAACTAATTAATTTTAAGGCAAACATTTACAAAAACAAGTGCTGTGTTTGACACCTCTCTGTCTGTTTTTCCTAAGACAATGCCTCGTTGAAACATATACCTGGATCAAAAAAAGTGCCATTTCCTTTTCATTTCTACATACATTTATTCAGATCCATTCCTTTTATTTCTGTTGAACTGCTTCTGAGAAATGCGGATAAATGGCAACTTAAAGGAAACACGATAAAATGTTGTAACAACAAAAGGCGCGTAAAATACAATCCCGTAACAGAATTTTAAATAAAGCCACATAGAGCCGACGGAAGGAATCACGTGAAAAAGCCTTCTCAACTTCGAAACCAGGGCGGTCTGAGGCAGCTGCTTGAAAAAGGCACCTTCTCGGGGAGGCCATTCCATAACCCGTGGGGCGGTGTAGAGATAAGTGCAAGACCAGAGCAATGGCCTGGGTGCCACAGAGGAACGGCCCCTCTTTTTGTCCCCGTCACCCAAAAGTCAGTTGGTGGGACGGAGAGAAGGCCCCGGGTGATGAGAAGCGCTCTGAACGAGGGGTGGATTCCTTTGCTCTCTGGGCAGCCCTTCCTGGGTTTTCTCCATGCCTGTTGTACTGCAGATCCCATATCCTCAGCCATATCCTGGCTGGAATGGTGGGAGTTGTAATCTGGCACAGCTCAGGGCTACCAGATTGGGGAGGGCAGAGAGCCTTACAAGCCAGATCCATTTTGTTGACTTGAGCCCCGAAACCGATTGGCACATCAGCCAAGCTGGCCACCTCGTACCAGATCACCTTCCAAGGCAGCCCCGTTGCAGCCGGCCGGGGGTGGAGGTGGCCAGGAGGTGGCCAGTGGTGCCTCCTGCTGGACGGGACACACTGGGTGTCCCACATGGCCCTCCTTGGGGCCCACTCCTTCTGAAGGAGGGCTGGGTCTGGGAGCAGAACCGCCTTGGACTGGCTCGGCAGCTCCCCCCAGGACGCTCGGCTCAGTAGCCAGCGGCACCTCCTGCCTGGCCCGAGGCTCAGCTTGGTCACCCACGCCAGTTGCAGGGCTGGTGCTGCCCCCTCCTAGTTCAGAACCAGCCAGCAGACCTCTTCGTTTGGGTCTGCGAGACTCCACTAACGACCTGCTCCCGTTTGTGGACCGACCTTGAGTGGCTTGAGCCCCAATCTGTTTTGATGGGTTAGTATTAAATACGTACTTACTGGTTTATCACATCCACTCCAAATGGCTTGGAGCTTGTGTGTAGTCCTGAGAGCTTCCCACCTTTTAAGTGCTTATGTATTTATTTAAAAATAATGTTAAATAAAAACATAAGTAAGAATGGCCCCAGATGCTGGTTCCCAGTGTCCCCTCCTACTTGAGATCAGAGGGTGGAAATGAAGGAGAGACCCGGAAACTTCACGCAGGCATTCGCAAGCATGTGATCCGCTTTGATTGAATTGATTCTGGAAATGTGTGTCAGCCCTGTGGGTCTCCTGGGGGGAGGCAGGGCTGTGGGATCCCTCGCTCTGTCCCCAAGACTCAGCTGGTGTTAAGTAAGCACCCGCCTTTGTAGTGGCACTTGGTGTTCCTTGACTCCAGGCCACTGGGCCAGGGTGCGGTGCTGGGTCAGTGCGGGGCCAGCTCGGGCGTGACGCGCTCCGGACCAGGGCCAGGGGTGCCTCTGTGCCTCGGGCTCCGCCGGGGGCCGCATCGCACCCGCTCTGCGGAGGACTGCGCCCACCTGGGGCCATGACAGCTTTCCAGAGAAGGTGGTGGGGTGAAGGAATGGGGAGGAACATCCAGGGACAGTGAGGGAGCCCCTGCGTCGCACAGTTGACTGTGAGTGTTCCTGAATGAATGAAGGAATCTTTTCCAGTGAATGAAAAAATTACGTTCACTTGTGAATGTTTCTGTTTTTATACAACGCCGGGCCTGCTGGAGGCATCCTGAACGCCCAGAGAGGTCGGCACTCCTCAGCTCCCTTTCCGTTTCCATCAGGTGTGCCTGGCTCCCTGCCGAATGCGCGGCTGCGGCACCTCACAGGGGAAGGCCGCTCTGCGGGGAGGCAGGCCGGGGGTGCCCGTGGCTTTTGGGCAGCCGATCAAACCACTTCACTGAAGGCCCTTGAAGAAAAGCTTCCCTTTGCCAGAAACATCTCCTCATCGGAGACCGACTTAGTGTGTGTCACCTTCACACGTGCAGTCTGGCCGCATTCACAATGACGTGGTCCAGACGGCCTCACAACCCGCATGCTGGAGTTGAGCCGGGTAGTCGCGGGACTGTGGGTTGCTGCTGAGAGGTGGTGACCAGATTTCCTCACCTGGCTGCACTAGCAAGCGGTGGCCTTGTGTTGCCCAGACCTGATCCGTGTGAGCACAGAGGCACTGTCCAGTCGGTTGCCGCTTCGGC